ATATGCATATTATGTTTGGTTTACTAAGGACGCTGCTATTGTATACCTTTTTTTGTATTATTTTTAACTAACTTTTTTTATTTCTTTACCTCTCCCCTTCTCCCCTCCACCCCTTTCTCTCTCTCTCTCTCTCTCTCTCTCTCTCTCTCTCTCTCTAGAATGCACTACGACAACAAAGATTTGTACGAGAAGTGACTGTGCAATTCAACCTATGTGGTGAGCCTTGGTAAGTAATATGACTTGGACTGTTCTAGTTTGCTTCTTTTGAAGGATTTTATTTTTGTTTTTGGGAACTGATTATTGGTAAGTATTAGAAGTTTTTTCGTTGGTAAATAGAGTAGGAAGATTATGGATGCCAGGGGGATGGGACCATTGGCTGAATTTCGTAGTAAGATTTTCTCGTGTTTTTAAAGCTACAAAAAAGGATGGAATTAGACAATTTTCTAGTATTGTTGTAAATTCTGTTCACTTTCTTTGTTTCTGGCTTAATAGATAAAGACATGCATTTGGGGGTGAAACATCATATGTAATACATAAAACTAGCAATGATTCTTAAGTTCTTGAATTGTGCTTTTAGTTGGCAAAATTGGTCGTCTTTCAAATCAAGAATTTTTTGGCTTACAAGTAGTACAGACAGAAATTAGTGGAGCCCATCTTCTACTTAGCCGGTAGAACCTTTTCTCATATGTGCATTATAGTGATAATTTTGCATGTTCATCTTTTCTGTGCTGCAGCAATGAATTTATAGTGACTGAGAATCCAAGAGAGTTCATATAGACTATTAAAGAGACATGCTTGTATAAATCTGTTTACCTGAACTGATTAGAAAATGACCAATTTATTGTGAAACTTCATAGTGATAAATCAGATAAGCTCTTGTATATTCACCTATTCTTTGCTCTTTTGATTAGTCTATTTCCTTTTGTCTGTCTAGGCTTAAATACAGCATCAGTGTGGTTGCAGACAAGGGGCTTAAGAAACCCCTGTTTACAGCTTCGCGCTTGAAAAAGGGGGAAGTACTCTACTTGGAAACCCATAGCCGCAGGTAATGGTGGTTGGTAATAGTAAGCAAATGTTTTCTTCATGCTTCTGGTTTAAGTCAATGTATTTACCTTTCGAGAAACAATCAATTCTTCATGTTTGAATAGAATATCTAGACAGGAGAAAGGATGTGCTAATCAAACTATTTGAGTATTATTGGTATTTTTTTTTAAAAGATTCATGTATCATATTATGCTCAGTTTTATTTTGAGCATCCTCGGTGAAATTATTTTACAATATCCGTTTTGTCAAACAGGAAAGTAAAGAGACTACTGGGGCCTCCTCTCTCTCTCCAGGACAGCGATAATTGAGCTATACACATAATTTTTTGTTATGATGAGTTTTGCTTTAGCATTTTCTGATTAGCCTGGATCAAAATTTTCTGACTTATTTGTTTGTTAGTTAGAGGCTGTTGCAAGAGGAAATGAATGTTTAAATCTTTTTCTTTTCTTTTTATTTTACATAAAAGCAAACTGTTAGCACTTTTATTTATCTTGATGCATGGGAATATCTTCTTCTTTCAAGATGCAACCTGATAATTGCTATTGCCTTCCTGGCAAGTTGCTATTCATTTACTCTTAACTCGTGCAAGTATAGGTTTGAGCTTTGCTTTGCTGGAGAGAAGATGGTAAAGGCTACATCAGTGTCTCAGGCCCAAGAAGCAGAAGCTGACAAATCTGTAACTCATAGCTCACATACTTCAAATGGTGAAAAAGGCCTGATGGATGGAGAAAATGTTGTTATAGATGCCTTCCGATGGTCTCGTTGTAAGAATCTCCTTCGCCAAACAAAGATGATATCAATTGGGATCCCACTGCCCCTTGAGCATGTGGAGGTAATCTCTTAATGTGATATGCAACTCTTCTTATTTGGAAAGAGAAAGGAGTGAGATATATTGAGATTTTAATACATCTATGTAGAATGGTCCTTCTTCATTCATTATGAGATTGACCTTTTTTAGCATACACTGAAAGTAGATCAGCCACCTTTTGGGGGGGTTGTCTTTTCTTTCCTTGTCTTATGAGTTTATCTATGTATATTTAGTTTGACATGAAGAGAGCACGACTAAAAGCATTACTGCAACTTCTGAAATCTCAAGTTTTGGTTTCTTGGGATAATTGTAGTTCTCTCAAATTATCAAGCTTTTAGTTTTTTTTTTTTTTTTGAAGAACTCGTAAATGGTATCCCTTGCAAGTTAAATGGACAAATCAATGAAAATGGAGCAACAAACAATTGTACATGAATGTGTAGACAAAATGAAATGACTTGGACTCCTAACCTGCAAGTGTCACCTAGGAAAAATTAGCATAATGTCTCTATGACAGGATCCATTTTTCTAAACTTTTGCTGTGTGCATGAAATTATTTGACAGGTATTGGCAGACAATCTAGAATGGGAGGATATCAATTGGACGTCTACTGGTGTTGTGATTGCCGGGAAAGAATACCATCTTGCCCGGGCACATTTCATGTCTCCAAATTAGCTGGCAGAGTTGAATTATCATGAACTTTTTGTCATGTAATATATATATTTCCGAGTTTCATAGACTGATGTACTGGTTTGGATGCTCCAAAACAATGCCATACAATGAATTTTAGACTATTTTGGAGATTGCTGTTATTAGCTCGTAGTTGTTTTTAATATCCTCCTATATAACCAGAATTTCTTCAAAAGAAATGCTCGTGGACTACACGTGCTTATGGTGGGAAGGAAGCTGATTTATTTGGTTGGTTGGTCGGTTGTTTTTCGGAGGTTTCCTTGTGTTGTGTGTGGGTGGGGGGGGGGGGGGGCGCGGGCGTTGGAGTTGGGCTATGTTGTTGAAGTAAATGAATATTGGGGTATTTGTGATAAGGACTTGCAAATTATTTTCGACTGGGTTGTGTTGATTTTTGTCTAAATTTTCATTATGTTTAAGCTTGAAAAAGGTTCAACGTATTCAGGAAATTTGGCTCGTACCAAATCTGTGAAAATGTGAGAGATGTTTGCTAGATAGGTCGATATGGTTCAAATGCTTAGATGAGGGAACCGTAAGGGGCTTACTCCAGCTTTTGAACATCATTGCTTGGACGAGGCATCAGTGTCATCACAGAAAAAGCAATGCCATATATCAACATGTAAATACGAAAATTCTAAAGAATGATAAGAGTGGTTTGGGCCTCCTGTGGCTAGTTCAACTGGTTTCGCAATTCGATAATTACCAGCAGGTTCCATAATCGATTTTTATGTGTTATCTCGTTGTATATATTCTTCAGGCAAGGCTTTACACACAGTTTTAGGAGATTAGTTTGATCAAAAAATTGGGATACCTCTAAGTGAACAGAAAAAAATAGGATAAGACTGGTTTGAAACAACGGTGGTAAAGCTGTACGGAGGAAATATATGAATGCTCTTTACACAAGCGCATGGTATGATTTTTACGTAAGCGCGTGGTATGAAAAAAAACTCTTGATACACAAAGAAACCCGTATTGTAGTGAGGAGAAGGGATTGATTACCTGATTCGTCTATTGCATATTCATGAAATTATTAGGTTATAGTGATTAGTTAGAAGTAGAGTTGCTAAAATCAGTGATTTCCCCTGTTTGATAATCCAATTTAAGATTGAAACTTAATGGATTCAGATATTAACATATTCATACCATTTGATAACTAAAAATTGAACATCCGAATTAATTAAGTAGCATTGAATTTTCTAGGCAAAACTTACTCTCAAAATTAAGTGATAAACTATTCACTTATCACTAAATGTGATATGCACTTAAATGTATTAAATTTAATACTTAATAAATCAATAATTTAATGGATTCGGATTTCAAATTTCAGACTTTAGTTTTATCAAATGTACCCTTAGACTTGTCTGAATGGGTTATAATTAGGTGATGAATATAATTAAATCAACACGTATATATCAATTTGATTAATGGTTAAAATGGACGAGTCATAAATATATATGATTTCAAATGGGTGTGCGTTACCCAATTCTATATATGCCCCACTAAAACTTCTACTTTTTTTCCCCTACCATATTCTATATAATAAGAAAAAACAATATATCATTGTAATAATAATAAAAAAAAGGTTGAAATACCAAGTTTGCGTATTCAGTTTGAAAAAAGACACGGATGCAACTATTGTATTTCACCAAAAAAGACACAAAAGGAAAAAGCTCATTATACCCAACCCTATCCATGTTGAGATTTAGGAACAAAAACTTCCTTCATCCATTTTAGCACCGGGTTGTCTCGTCTGATACTTGTGTGCCCATGAAGAAGCTAAAAACGTTATAAAAAGAGGACTTACTGTTCTAAAAACCTAGCCACCATATGCTAAGAGACTACCAGAAATTAGGCTAACTTCATTACCACCATTCCAAAAATTGGCAAAGTGAAATTGACTTGCACCGACCAATTTTTTGTTGATATCTCATGGAAGAAGGGTTATCCCAAAAAAAAAAAAAAAAAAAAAAAAGTGAATGCTGTGTTTGTTTGATACTTTGATGGCTTTTTCATCTTATTTACATAATTGTTTAGATACCTTGCTTGACTACCTTTTTTCTTCTTAGAAACACAATTATCAACTAAATGCAATAGTTTTTGTTAACAACTCTTAATAGAAAATGAGTTCTGACGCTCCGCGTTTTTACCCAAGAACCACAAAAAAAAAAAAAAAGAAGAAGAAAGAATGGAATTCTTCCAACTTCAACAGGCGAAGCTGAATGCTGATGCGAATGATACAACATATGGCTAAAAGGGAAACAGGGGACTGGAGGAAAGGCTCTAAACCTCCTCAAACAGTAATGTCGTATACTAAATAAGTAACAGTTGTAGCTCCATGTATGTAACGGTTGAACCCCAAGCCACCTTGTCACGTCCCAAATCCGATAACCATATTTAAAAAAGGGTTATTTAACTTATAATTTGAAGCGTGGCACCAATATACCCTTCCAAGAGGATATAAAGCCGTCTATCGGGTTTATAACTATAAACCAACATTTACATATTCCTTTGAATGTGCTAAAAAAATGTTCCAAACATAGAAAATCATTCATATGATACTTTACACTAAACTTTCAACATATATACATTACTAGGGTACAAAAGTCATATAGGCTACAATTTAGCAAAATTTAACTCTAGAATATAACTTGATCAAAGCTAGTCTTCAACTCATCCTAAACTGGATTCTCATTTGCATGAGAGCCAATTAAGTGGGGGAGAGCGTCGGCTTGTTCAAAAAGAAGTCGATTCATATCTGTACTGGATCGAACATATTAATAAGAAATATAACATTTAATAAAATCATTTCACGTAATTCAATCACAATTGACATTTCACATATACGTAATGCATACTTATGTACAAATTCATATTTTGTAATTCTTTAATTTTGATCCGTGTGATCTTTTCTTATTCCCACTTTGCCTTCAGTTAAAAAACATGTTATGGTCACTTTATACTCGTAATAGGGCCTTTACTCACTATTTTTACACGTGATAGGGCCATATTCCATTTAAAATGTAACTCCTTATATCATACTATGTGTCACTTTATACCCGTGATCGGACCGTTACCCACTATTACATCCCGTGGCAAGACCATACCAGCATTTACATAGCCTAAAGCCTTTTCCTATCATTTACTTGTTTTAATAAGTCCAATATGTCTAAAACATCAAACGGCAATCACTTTTAAACACATAGTACAATCATTCATAAGTACATAGTCCTAAAAAAATTACATATGTTCAATCCAATTTAATATAACAAAATACATTTTTTGCATAACAATTAGCAAATAAAACCTTTTTAGAATACATTTCAAAAACCATAGAGATAGGAAGGTGCCAATTACCAACTTCTAGGATAATTCAAGGTCCGGTCAAAAGTCACTCCGATCCTCCCTTAATCTTCCCCTAAAATAGCAAATTAGAACATTAACAATCTAATGTCAATACTGTGCTGTCACTTGTTAAATCATCACTAACGATGCTCCTTTAAAAATTTGCAACTTGGGTTATATATGTCAAAAATCACAAAAATTGTGCTGTTAGAAACTAGACTTGAAGCACTAATGATCATTAGAAGAACATTTTAGAAATTTGGATCATAAGCTAGTCTAAATTAATTTGCAAGTCACTGCAATTTTTCAGTCCCTAGCTGTGCAGGTCATGATTTCATGCCAAATTTGCAAATTTTCCACTATTAATAGACAATGAACTAGAGCTAGAATATTGTATCTTTGGAAAGATTTTTGAATCTAGTTTCAAATGCTACTGACAGCACTCAATTTTGGCTTTTCTATACTAAGTTATAGTTGATTTTTCAAAACTGCTCAGGCTGACTGTTTATACAATTCAATCCAATTCAGCTTTATATAACTCAAGTATATGATTTATTTACCTTAAATTACTTGAAGTCAATCAATCCTGGTCCCTTGATGCTCCCTGAAATTTCCGTCTCTCCGTTTTGCTTCTTCTGGTATTTACGCATCAAGAAGATGCATACAAACATGATGAAGCGGCGGGGAAGAGATAAACATTGCAAAATTTGCACTATGGCCCTCTAGTTATTGATCTGATTATAAATTGTACCCTCCACTTATGCAAAATGCTCAATTGGCTAATTTACTTTTAGTAATCGGGATCCTAATCAAACTTTGTCAAAGCAACCACAATATACAGCTGATGACATAACACCACGAAACCAACATTGGATAGGTTCTCATTCTATAATTGTAATTTCACATAAAGGTTTCCAAGTGGCAATTGGTAGTTCAAATATAATTTGGGAAGTTTAGATTAAAGGAAAATCATTCAAAATGTTCCTCACATTTTGTAAAATAACTTTTTTCGTCTCTTCCTTTTAAAAATATAATTTTACGTCCTTTACAAATTCACATTGATCAAATTTGGTCCCTACCTAGATTTCTAACTAGTTTTTGGCCGGAATTCATCATATGCCTTGTATGTGATAAAAATTTACATAATCCATCTATAGTTCTCTATATTTCATAAAATGAATTGTATTTGATTTCACTATGTGAATGTATTCAATACTTATAACTTTTCTATTTTGGTAATAATTCATTTATTGAGTTGTGTAATAAGGCCATATAATTAATCGATCCTAACTCGAATTCTATAGTCATGCTAACAAATTACAATTTAAATTTGAAATTTTTACTCACCACCTTTAAGACCAATAGTTGAATTTCTTGCCTTGTGATTATCTTAAAATTTAAAAGTATCAATTATTTACTTCTTTTTGTCATACTTTTCTTTGTTTATTTTTTCTATCCAAATTTAATTCGATATAAATAATTGATACTGTTTAGGATTAAATGTCTTCTTTATTTTCAATTTTTGAATAAAAAAAATAAACATGAGTAAAAAAACTAACAATTTTTTTAAACCCCTGTATATATCTACTTTAATTTCACCTGAACAGTACGTTCAAGCGAAATCAAATAGAGGTATGTTACATGCTATTCGTATTGTTCAGATGAAATTAAATATATATATATATATACATGAGTTTAAAAAAAAGTTATTCATACACATGATCAATAAGGGATGAAAAAATTTATTTTATAAAATATGAGGGACGAAACAATTCATTTTATGAAATGCGAGAGACAAAAAAATTTCATTTTATGAAATGTGAGAGACTATCTATCAGATTATGTAAATTTTGATTTGACAATATTGCCCTTAAAAAATGATCACGTGCAAGATATGTGGTGGATTCCGACCAAAATATTATATTGGTAGTAGGGGCAAATTACTTAAAAAACTTTGAAATTAGTTAGTAGGAGCAAATTAGTCCATTCATATTATATTATTATGTGGGAGTAGGGCTATATAATTATACGAGTATAAATTTGTATTTGTAGTAAAGATAAATTAGTATAAAATTTTATCATTCTATCTATTAGTCATCCCGGGATGACTAATACCACCTCTTTCATGGATTATTTTATCCCTTGTATCGGGAATTAATTTGGTTAGAGAGGATATGTGTGAGGACCCGATAAATTCTTTTACATGTTTAATTACTTATTTTTATTAATAAATAAACCGGTAATACCTTAGGAAATTGTATCACTTACACCATTAAATATTAGTATTAGTTAGCATTTGCTTTATATATAAAAAATAAAAGACAAACGTAGAAAAGCATTTGCTTCAATGCATGTAAATGCCTAACATGTGCAAGAATCAAAATCTTGCATTTTCCATTCTAGTTAGAAACTAAAAGGAACTACTAGTACTTGTTAGAAATCAAAACTCTTATGAATGGGTATTAGCTCCTACGTGAAACCAAAAGGAAGGATTGAACTACCAATATGTGTCTTGTCTGCCATTAGAACCTATAATGGGATAATATACTAGTATTTATTATTGTCTTCTATTAAGAATTGAGAATGCTATACAACCTACTAGCACCAACTATTGTTTTCTATGTGGAACCGAGAGAAGCTCGTCTAATTCATTCTTGTCTGCCACTAGTAACCAATTAGAGACTCTTATGCTTCATTCTAGCCTATACATCACTAAGAAAAAAAAAAAGGCTCACAAAACCATCTCTTCTTCTCCTTACTTGGCCGGCCATTTCTCCCTCCATTTGCCAAGAAAATTTCAGCTTCATCTTCTTCATTTTGTTCCCTAAATCTTGCTCCACCTAGCCCATTCTCTTGGAGCATCCTCAAGCTTAGTAGGAGATTTGAAGGAGGAGAGATTCTTGGTGATTTAAAACTTAAACTCTTGTGGTTTTGCCTACTACTCTTGGAAGGAAGGTAACTCTCAAAGCTCTCATTTTTCTTCCATCTTATGGTTAGTTTTAGTTAGTTTTTCACTAGATAAGCTTGGGCTGTTGATGGGTTCCATGAACCTTGACTTTAGGTAGATGTCTTGAGGCGGATTCTTAAGTAGTGGCCTTGAGAATATTGTTTGTTTGGTTGTTATTTTAGTGGTTTATAGTTTGGTTTTGGTATGAAGATTTGGAAAGAAAATTTGAAGAGAAAAGGGAGCAAGGCTGCCCGATTTTGCTGGTTCATTTTCTCTTGTGTTAATTTCGAATTTAGTGGTTATATTGATGCTAAAATGCTTGTTATATGTTGGATTATATGTATGTAAATTATCTCCGAAAAAACATTTCAATTGATTGAGTTAAAGTTAAGTTAAAAGGGAGGAAGTCAAACCCGGAAAATTTCTGGTCAGCACTGCTTTCCAGGGTGCACTTATCAGCCCATAATTTTTTGTACAGGAGTTGAAATCAAGTAGTGGCCTTGAGAATATTGTTTGTTTCTGGTCAGCACTGGCAAAGTTGGCTGTTTTTTTTTCTCTCTGTTTTAACCGAGAAACAAGCATAGCTGCAGTTTGTAGCTCACTTTCACTCCCTTTACGAAATGAATTTGAAGACAGTTTCTTCTAGTGATTTTTAGAATTTTGAATCTAGTTTTCAACGCCATAAACCACACTAAATTTGGATGTGTGTAGCCTTATTTATGACTTGATTTCGAAACTGCATCAGATACTCCAATGCTGGAATTTCGTGAACCAGGGTTTAAAAATCAGCTTTCATAAAACTGTTGTATCTTGGCGTGGGAAGATCCAAATTGAGTTCCGCTTATTGCGTTTGAAACTAGACTTGGATTTTTTTCAGTGGTATAAATTTCAGGAGCTAGTTCGATTCTTATGAATTTTGATAAATTTTCAAGTTTAACTAAAATTCAAAACTGTTTTGCCCTGTTCTTATTGAAACAGTGATTTGGATCTCAGATTTGATTGATTTCTAATTTGAATCTGAAAAAGTATTTCCTAGAGAGTTTTAGTTTATTGAGTCTATTTTCCAACGGTATAAGATTTACAAATGTTGGACTTATGGAACTCAGGTTATGATTTTTCAAAAAAAGGTTGCCAAAACTGAAACTTTCCCTATAAAGTGACCAAAACTCCAAAGTGGTTTGGGAACATTTTCTAGGTTTCAAACCTAACCTTCTTGATTATTTGCACCTCATTTCCTACATGGGAAATGGATTTCACCTCCTAGTCTTGTGCCCTCGGTTTCCATAAAAATGAACCATAAATGGAGCGTTTTAACTAGAGTAATTTTTTAGGAACTTCACTAACTTTATATTTGAAACTTGGAATTTTTAACTTCAATATTTACCATGAATTAAGTAGAGTTTTGATGGTTTTGACTTCATAAGTTTAGAAAATATGAACGCTCATTTATATTCTAAAAACTTGGGCATAAGATTAGAAATTTTAAGATATGAAAATAATTTTTCTTTCCTCGATTTTCGTGCCAAAAAATTAAGCATGGTACTTCTCTTTTAAAATCGAAATTTCTTGCCACAACTTGACTCGGAAATGACTTTTGACTCTTCCTTGAATATTATTTCAATAATTAAGCAAGAAAGTCTCTTTTATTCGATTTGAACTTATAGCTCTTGAGTGTGGGTAGCAAGGGGATATTTTTTCTTAGTTTTGGTCGAATACCTAGGTAACCGTGATTGTACATGTTTTAGGTGATCACGTGGACACAGAGGAACTCATTTGACTTCTTGCTTTTCCTCCTGTTTTGCTCTTGACTTTTGGTGAGTGTCAAGTGCATGCTTCTTGTTGCTATGGTTGATATAGTAATTGTACAAGTACTATGTGATTCGTGTGAACTTGCCGAGGATAGAGTGTACTTTACCGCCCTCATTCTCACTCTCTTGAATGCTTGTTGCTTAAAATATGAATTTGTATAACTTGTACTCGAGCATGTCTTAACTCGTGAGTACTGAGCGGCAATATGTACGACACCCTATTTGGCTAGGAGGTGCCTCTCATCCCGACTCAATATTATGACCGATTTTAAATCGATTGGAGCGTTGTCTCATCAATTAATTGTACTTGTGGGGACGCCCAATCCATTGGCTAACCTCGTAACTCGAACCGGCAAGGGCTTAGTCGAGAAGTTTGGTGAACCATAGGAAATGTTATAGTTTGATCTTTTGAGATCTTACTTGACATATTCGAATAGTATTGTCATCTCGTGCTTGTTTGGTTCCAGATCCGAGAAGGCGATATGGTAGATGGAAGAAATAAGTGGAGCTCTACAGACATGTTGCTGGTTGAGTTGACAGAGGGTCAATCAAAGATGGCATGAACCGGTCGAGACATGGAAATAGCTCCTTAGACCTCCTGTAGCCTTTTCACTTGTGTTTTATTTCCTACTTACTCGTTTATATGAAGTTGGTGTTAAGTCTCTCCTAAGTGTTCTATTTGAATTAGGTCAAGTTACTTGTTTACTTGCTTGCTTGATTTCTTGGCTTCATTGAGCATTAGCTCACTCCAATTTGTTTTTCTTAATAGGTTTTGGAAGTGAAAGTTGGGAAGTTCTAGACTAGCGGTTTTGGTTGAAACTAGTAAATTTTTTTGTATGATATTGGAGACATTAGAAGTGTATTTTTTTTTTTTATATTTGGGTTTTGGATTGTAATTGTACACAGTTGCCTTAGAAGAATTTGGTTTGTATATTTGAAGTATTCCTTTAATTCTAAATCTATGGTTGACTTGTGGATTTCTTTTAAACTTGAATGAGTACGTGAGTCCTGACGAGAGTTAGGCGGGCGCCCTGCTGATGCTCTAGGGTACGCCCTAGGGAGAGGTGGGGGCATCACAATATGTCATTCCACGTATAAAATATAACCAAATATGGGATGATTAATCCAATCTCGTGTCATCCCAAGAATCAAACGGACCCTAAGAGTGTCCACCATTAGAAATAGAAGGACCAAAATATTGTAATATGTAATTTTACGCCAGAACAATGTTTTGATATAAAAAAGTATATATGTTTTATAGTGCATTTACATTTATCCTTGAAATACTCAATAAAATGGTGTTAATTTAAGTGATGAAGAAATCAAAGCTAATAAAGAGAATACTTTTTTTGAGAAAATGAAATAACAAGGAAAAGAAGTATCTAATAGATTGTGTGAAGGAAAGTTCAATTTAAAATGGAGAAAGGTACCAGTATTGAGCAATCCAATTTTCATTAACTTGTTAATGGAATTTAATTTAGGAAAACACTTAAATCATATGCCAAATAAATGTATCCTATAGAAAAGAAAAAAAGAACAAGAGGGACCAAAAACTTTTACATAAATAGCCATATAAAATAAAATGTACTAAACAAAGTGTGTTATACTAAAAAAAATATGTAAAAACTTATAACACTTGTCCTCCACTTTGATCAATAATTTGAATAGAAATTGATGTTTGTATAATTCATCATTCAATTGTATACTTCAACTATAATCATCATGGCATTAAATATATTTCTCTCCGTGATAGATAGATGTGTATGGCATGTAATAGGGTCCAAAATAATTATTTAGATTTCTATTTTGACCCTTGAATAGTACTTCCTCCGTCCCGTAAAGTCTGTCGTACTTTGGGGCCAACGCTTTTTATGCACAGCAACATCCACTTATCTGTAAGTTCTTTTGTTCCAAGTTTGCCCTTTACATTTCACTGAATCGTCCAAGAAACAAATGGGTCAAAGTGGGACCCATAAAAAAGCACTCCATTGTTCCGACTACAAAAAATTCATTTCCTTACCAAAATCTTCCTCATCCAAGAAACAAATGGGTCAAAATGGGACCCACCAAAAAGCAATACTTTGTTTCAGCCACAAAAAACCGGTTTCCTTATCAAAATCTTCTTCTAGCAGATTTCTTCTCCATCGTTTTTTCTCCTAGTAGAATAACATGCCTTATTATTTTGCTTGTTTAGTTTTTGGATCAATCACAAATTATTCACCTATTTTTACACTATTTTCTTGCTTTCAAAATGAATTTATTTTGTGAAAGTTGATTATTCTTAACAAATTAGTGTATATGAAAATAATTTATAAATTGAAAGATTTTAAAAGAAAATCACTAATTAAGCCATCTCGATATTCTATTTACTGCAAAAAATTGAAATTATCCTCTTGATAACAGAATTAGTCTTCAATTGAAGTTTGAAAGAGCCATATACACATTCTTGGTGATGAATTTGGCTAGAATCGGAACCAAGAATTTTGCTGGAGCTGGAAGTCAAACATGGTACAAGTTGGGACATTTGGATGTCCTTTGGGACCATACATCAATTTGTTGGCCAACTAGCACATGCATTGTCACATCATTAGTGAAGGGCAAAAATGAGATTTCATAGCTTAAAATAGTTTAAAATGTTAAACATGACAAACATTTTGGGACAGTCCAAAAAGGAAAGTATGATAAACATCGTTGTGGGGAGTGTTGTGGAAAGTATGCTTGAATCTCAACATGAAGATAAACATCCACGGCGTGCCTCCCATCTCTTCTGCCCCGAAAATACATTCCGCCAAAAAGACATGGCCAGACTAAAGTTCGAGTGGGGAGTGTTGGAATTCATCAAGTCATGAATGAACCGACCATTTGTCTCAAGAATGGTAATGTTTATCCAAATAGTATTCCGGTCTCCCATCAGGTTTTCGTCGAAAGAGACGGAGAAGGAAGAAAATGGGGTGAGGGAGCAATCGTCTTTTTCAGGCGAGAAAGGGTTTCATCCGTGGGCTTCGTCGGCAGAAAAAAGAAGAGAGGGAGTGTGGGTTGGTTTCATGTGTCGAACTTGAAGGGTTTTTTCATTTGTGGAGGGATTTCAAATGGGCAATGACAATTCAGGACAACACAGGAATTAGAATCTTTCGAGAAAAAAAAATTATACGTAAAAAAGAAAAGAAAGTTGTTCCCATGAATGGACTTTTGGAACCTATTCCAAGTCAAAAAAAAAGAACTAGTAGCATATTTCAAGATTATATCGATCACAATCTGCTGTATTTAACTCGGGATCTTTTGTATTGGCCGTGTAAATGTGACTTTTTTTTTGAAAGATTTGTTATTTAGATAGTGCTTGAATCCTGACGAGAGTTGGGCAGGCTACCCGCTGAACCTTTTGGTTCGACTTAGAGAGAAGTGGGGTCATCACAGATTGAAACAATCAATTGCTAGTCCTAAATACACAAGACAAGAATTTTCATGCTCTCTAACAAAGTGTTTACATGCTTTACTATCTTATGGATGCCGCATTGCATTATCATTAATGCATTTTTCTTTATACTACCTCATATCAAAGGCTATTTCCTTGTACATATATAATCTTCACAGCCTCTTTTTCAAAGGAAAATAGCACAGCACCTTGCGTGGAATTTTACAGCACTTTGATCTATAGCGAGGTTCCTTACATTTTTCATTGGACAAGTGTCTAACCTCTCATACTCCTTGCAAAAGAGGATATAATCATTCACACAAGTATGATTTTTTTCAAATTTAAATCCCAAGTCTCTAATTATTTTCTTAGTCTCAAAAAATGACTTAGGAACTACAGTTTTGAGGGGTAATACATTCTTAAAAACTCTAGATATGAATCGAAGGAATTAATAGTCAAACTCTAGGAACTACTCATTGTTTTTAAATGTAGTAGTGTCACAACAAATGACAATTTGGAGAAAAATTTATTACCATGATACAAATTTTATTTTGCATCGTTGAACAACCTAATAAATACATTTGTTCAGTAACTTTTCCATCTGGGGTATTCATTGTTGTTTCTTATTTGTCCATCCAATTCTTCCCCTAATTAGCAGTACAAATGTCTTTTTAAATTTTGACGTGCCAGTCCGGTAGGGGGTTGAACGGTGGTTGGAGAATGACTTGAAGTGGTGAAATACTTGTTAGCATTTTGAAAAAAATATTGATAGAGTGTCAACGAAATTCTGATCAAACTGGTTGAATATGCTCTTGAGAGCCATGTATCCTTTTATATGACAATGCAAATTCTTAATTGTCGAGTATCCAACGTGAACTTGCATTATGGTTGTGAACTATGACTATGTGGCGTGAATATGATATTATTATTGCATGACTTTCTTGGAACCTCATGGGACGAAAGTTCACCATTTAGATTTGTTTTCTTTACAGGAGCGAGCACCTGGGCAACTAAATAGGAAGGGCCGGATCTTGTCGGAATTTTTTGTTGTAGTTTAGTTGTACCAACTTTTAGTTTTGCTTTTGTAAGTTGAGAACTCAACTTTTGTAAGTTGAACTAGTAGTGAAAAATTACGGACACAATGGAAATAAAATCTTGAAAATTCTAATCTTGAAAATTGTGAAAACTCTGAACATTCGGCCCTTGACTCAAGATTCGATAGTGCTCCTCGCCAATCAAACAGTACATCATGAGAAAGTGATGCCCACCAATGTTAGCTAACTGCAGCAGATTATTTATCAAGACATTAACATTGGGGATGCCATTTCTGGCCATGTGACCCACGTGAATTCTGGTCAGCTGTCCAAGGGGACTGCCGTTCCGTGCCAATTCCGTTCGAATCACTATATATCTAAATAATCCCGGAGGAGGTAGCGTCCTATGTATTCGTATCAAATAGCTCAGAGGAAATGCCACCATCAATATTACTCTACACTTGATGTCTTCCCAACGCGTTTCCAATTCGAGAACACCAATTTCTCCGTCGCCGGTAAGGTACATCATTTCCACTTGCCATGCTTGAATCTCAACATGAAGATAAACATCCACGGCGTGCCTCCCATCTCTTCTGCCCCGAAAATACATTCCGCCAAAAAGACATGGCCAGACTAAAGTTCGAGTGGGGAGTGTTGGAATTCATCAAGTCATGAATGAACCGACCATTTGTCTCAAGAATGGTAATGTTTATCCAAATAGTATTCCGGTCTCCCATCAGGTTTTCGTCGAAAGAGACGGAGAAGGAAGAAAATGGGGTGAGGGAGCGATCGTCTTTTTCAGGCGAGAAAGGGTTTCATCCGTGGGCTTCGTCGGCAGAAAAAAAAAGAGAGAGAGTGTGGGTTGGTTTCATGTGTCGAACTTGAAGGGTTTTTTCATTTGTGGAGGGATTTCAAATGGGCAATGACAATTCAGGACAACACAGGAATTAGAATCTTTCGAGAAAAAAAAATTATACGTAAAAAAGAAAAGAAAGTTGTTCCCATGAATGGACTTTTGGAACCTATTCCAAGTCAAAAAAAAAAGAACTAGTAGCATATTTCAAGATTATATCGATCACAATCTGCTGTATTTAATTCGGGATCTTTTGTATTGGCCGTGTAAATGTGACTTTTATTTTGAAAGGATTTGTTATTTAGCTAGTGCTTGAGTCCTGACGAGAGTTGGGCAGGCGGTCCGCTGAACCCTTTGGTTCGCCTTAGGGAGAGGTGGGGTCATTACAGATTGAAATAATTAATTGCTAGTCCTAAATGCACAAGACAATGATCTTCATGCTCCTTAACAAAGTGTTTCCATGCTTTACTATTTTCTGGATGCCGCATTGCATTATCATTAATGCATTTTTCTTTATGCCACCTCATATCAAAGGCTATTTCCTTGTGCACATATAATCTTCACAACCTCTGTTTCAAAGGAAAATAGCACAGCACCTTGCGTGGAACTTTAGGGCACTTTGATCTATAGCG